AGTTTGCAGAGTTTCTACAATCCTGTTTCCAATGAGACTGCGTTCACGGTGCTCTGCAGCACTGTTTTAGTACCACGGCATCCCTGAAGAAGGAAGTCCTGACCGCTAGAGACTTACAGCGGTTCAGGTGTAATCCGAGGTGGGTGTGGCTCTCTGCCTGGCAGCCTTTTTTTTTTTTTTTAACAACAGCAAATATGCAATTTAAACATGACATCCAAAAATACACATGTAACTAATAACATATAAAAAACTAAAATATAAATTACATAAAATAAATAAAAAGACAGCTTCAACATAGAGACCTTTACAGTGATATTATGTTTAAACCCATCCAATTGACAGCAAGTTTACTGTTTAATTAACTTCAGCTCCTTCGACACTATAATTGTATCTTTACATTTTTTTGCTATAAATATATTAGAGCGAGTCTATCAATAATAATCCATAATAGATACAAGGTTTAGAGTTGTTCAATCTGCATTTATGAATATGAAGTTTACCAAATAAAATCAAAAGATTCATTATAAATTCCACGGATAAATTGTTTGAAACAAAATTAAGAATAACATCTTTGGGGGTCAAATTACATCTAAAACCTGATTTATTTATTTATTTATTTATTTATTTATTTATTTATTTATTTATTTATTTATTTTTATTATTTTCTTTTTTGGAAATACAATGAGAAATCTCCCCAAAACTTCTTTAAATGTTGACATTCATAAAAAAGATGAATCAAAGACTCTGGATGATTTAAACAGAATGAACAATTTCCATCAGTCTGCATACATTTAGATAATGTGTAATAGCTCACATAAATGTTTTTAAACGTAGATTTTTAAACATAGTTTCCTATGTTTATTACCTATGCAGAAACGAAAAGGAAGCAACCAAGCTTTTTTCCACACAATATCTTCAAAACAAACATTTTAAAAAAAATCCTCTAGGGTTTAAGGCTCTATTTTAAAAAATAATATTAATCTAATAGCTTTGTTTGTACAATTACTGTACTACAAAACTCAACCCCCAAAAATCCTTTTTTCCAAACATTAGTGAACTTATAAATTTGATGGTCCAGGATCAACATCAGTGACTTTAAAAAGTTGATGGTCTAAGATCAACATTAGTAAATTGAAAAAATGTAATGGTAAAGGAACAACATGAATTAACTTATCAACTAGATGGTACAGGATCAACATCAGTGAATGAATAAATCTGATGGTCCAGGATCAACATTAGTGAATCTATAAATTTGCTGGTCAAGGATCAACATCAGTGACCTTATAAAACTGATGGTCCAGGATCAACATTAGTGACCTTAAAAAAACGGATGGTCCAGGATCAACATCAGTTAATTTATAAAGTTGATGGTCCAGGATCAACATTGTGACCTTATGAAATTGATAGTCCAGGATCAACATTAGTGAATATGTATAGTTGATGGTCCTGGATCAAAATCAGTAACTTTAAAAAACTGATGGTCCAGGATCAACATCAGTGACCTTTTAAAACTGATGGTCCAGGATCAACATCAGTGACCTTATAAAACTGATGGTCCAGGATCAACATCAGTGACCTTGTAAATTTGATGGTCCAGGATCAACATTAGTGAATTGATAAATTTGATGGTCCAGGATCAACATCAGTGACCTTATAAAACTGATGGTCCAGGATCAACATCAGTGACCTTTTAAAACTGATGGTCCAGGATCAACATCAGTGACCTTATAAAACTGATGGTCCAGGATCAACATCAGTGACCTTATAAAACTGATGGTCCGGGATCAACATCAGTATATTTATATAACTGATGGTCCAGGATCAACATCAGTGACCTTATAAAACTGATGTTCCTGGATCAACATCAGTGACCTTAAAAAACTGATGGTCCAGGATCAACATCAGTGACCTTGTAAATTTGATGGTCCAGGATCAACATTAATGAATTAATAAATTTGATGGTCCAGGATCAACATTAGTGACCTTGTAAATTTGATGGTCAAGGATCAACATCAGTGACCTTATAAAACTGATGGTCCAGGATCAACATCAGTGACCTTAAAAAAACGGATGGTCCAGGAACAACATCAGTTAATTTATAAAGTTGATGGTCCAGGATCAACATCAGTGACCTTTTAAAACTGATGGTCCAGGATCAACATCAGTGACCTTATAAAACTGATAATCCAGGATCAACATCAGTGACCTTATAAAACTGATGGTCCTGGATCAACATCAGTTAATTTATAAAGTTGATGGTCCAGGATCAACATCAGTGACCTTGTAAATTTGATGGTCCAGGATCAACATTAGTGAATTGATAAATTTGATGGTCCAGGATCAACATCAGTGACCTTATAAAACTCATGGTCCAGGATCAACATCAGGGACCTTATAAAACTGATGATCCAGGATCAACATCAGTGACCTTATAAAACTGATGATCCAGGATCAACATCAGTAAATTTATCAAATTAATGGTCCAGGATCAACATCAGTGACCTCTTAAAACTGATGGTTCAGGATCAACATCAGTGACCTTTTAAAACTGATGGTCCAGGATCAACATCAGTGACCTTTTAAAACTGATGGTCCATGATCAACATCAGTGACCTTATAAAACTGATAATCCAGGATCAACATTAGTGACCTTGTAAAATTGATGGTCCAGGATCAACATCAGTGACCTTATAAAACTGATGGTCCTGGATCAACATCAGTTAATTTATAAAAATGATGGTCCAGGATCAACATCAGTGACCTTATATAACTAATGGTCCAGGATCAACATCAGTGACCTTGTAAATTTGATGGTCCAGGATCAACATTAGTGAATTGATAAATTTGATGGTCCAGGATCAACATCAGTGACCTTATAAAACTGATGGTCCGGGATCAACATCAGTGACCTTATAAAACTCATGGTCCAGGGTCAACATCAGTGACCTTATAAAACTGATGGTCCAGGATCAACATCAGTTAAATTAAAAAATTGATAGTCCAGGATCAACATTAGTGAATTTATAAAGTTGATGGTCCAGGATCAACATTAGTGAAATTATGTATTTGATGGTCCAGGATCAACATTGTGACCTTATAAAACTGATGGTCCAGGATAAACATCAGTGACCTTATAAAACTGATGGTCCAGGATAAACATCAGTGACCTTATAAAATTGATAGTCCAGGATTAACAAAAGTGAATTAACACTGTATTTAAATGATGATGATGGTCCAAGATTAACAAAAGTGACCTTATAAAACTAATGATCCAGGATCAACAACAGTAAATTCATAAAATTGATAGTCCAGGATCAACATCAGTTAATTTATAAAGTTGATGGTCCAGGATCAACATTGTGACCTTATAAAATTGATAGTCCAGGATCAACATTAGTGAATATATATAGTTGATGGTCCAGGATCAACATCAGTAAATTTCTAAAATTAATGGTCCAGGATCAACATCAGTGACCTAATAAAACTGATGGTCCAGGAACAACATCAGTGACCTTATAAAACTGATGATCCAGGATCAACATCAGTGACCTTATAAAACTGATGGTCCAGGATCAACAACAGTATATTCATAAAATTGATAGTCAAGGATCAACATTAGTGAATTTATAAAGTTGATGGTCCAGGATCAACATCAGCGAATCTATAAATTTGATGGTCCAGGATCAACATTAGTGAAATTATGTATTTGATGGTCCAGGATCAACATTGTGACCTTATAAAACTGAAGGTCCAGGATCAACATCAGTGACCTTATAAAACTGAAGGTCCAGGATCAACATCAGTGACCTTATAAAACTGAAGGTCCAGGATCAACATCAGTGACCTTTTAAAACTGAAGGTCCAGGATCAACATCAGTGACCTTATAAAACTGAAGGTCCAGGATCAACATCAGTGACCTTTTAAAACTGAAGGTCCAGGATCAACATCAGTGACCTTATAAAACTGAAGGTCCAGGATCAACATCAGTGACCTTTTAAAACTGAAGGTCCAGGATCAACATCAGTGACCTTTTAAAACTGAAGGTCCAGGATCAACATCAGTGACCTTATAAAACTGAAGGTCCAGGATCAACATCAGTGACCTTATAAAACTGAAGGTCCAGGATCAACATCAGTGACCTTATAAAACTGAAGGTCCAGGATCAACATCAGTGACCTTTTAAAACTGATGGTCCAGGATCAACATCAGTGACCTTATAAAACTGATGGTCCAGGATCAACATCAGTGACCTTATAAAACTGATGGTCCAGGATCAACATCAGTGACCTTATAAAACTGATGGTCCAGGATCAACATCAGTGACCTTATAAAACTGATGGTCCAGGATCAACATCAGTGAATTTATAAATTTGATGGTCCAGGATCAACATAAGTGAATTCATAAAGTTGATGGTCCAGGATCAAGATTAGTGAATAAATAAATTTGATGGTCCAGGATCATCATTAATGAATTAATAAATTTGATGGTCCAGGATCAACATCAGTGAACTTACGAATTTGATGGTCCAGAATCAACATCAGTAAATTTATAAAATTGATGGTCCAGGATCAACATCGGTGACCTTTTAAAACTGATGGTCCTTGATGAACATCAGTAACCTTATAAAACTGATGGTCCAGGATCAGCATTAGTAAATTTATAAATTTGATGGTCCAGGATCAACAGAAGAAAGAAACTCAGAAGTTTGGAACCACTTGAGTGGGAGTAAATAAAGAAATATTTTTTTTTAGGTGAATGGAGCCTCTACAAACGAGCTCTTGATTTGTCCTGCCTCATACTTGCCGTTTCAAAGAGAAACCTCTGTGAAGACTACAAGTCCAATAAGTTCTCTGGCACAGCTGTAGCTTAGAGATAACATTGTGAAGGATATTTGTTTCTGAAATTTGAGAGGCAAACTTGAACATGCAATCTATTTTTCTCCTCCGTGTCTGCAGAGTCCGCCAAAAAAGTACAGAACTTTTAATAAAACCTCAGATGTCAGGATTTCAGAATGTTTATTTAAAAAAAAAACAAATGCATAAACAAATTCAAAGCACGCATGAGGACAAAGAACAAAACTCACTAAATGTCACCTAATATATAAATAGCCAACAATCCAAACATCCAAAAGTCAAGAAGATCGTTAAAGCACACAATTAAAATAGGGTTTTAAAAAATAAATAAACTACGAGTGTAGTGGTTTGTCAAATACATTTTAAACAAGTCATTATTTTGTTGCTGTAAACATATTTCTAAAGGAGTGTTGACATGAGTTTAAGACAAATAAAACAAAACTCATTTAGAAACAGGTATGTGTAACAGCAATGGAGCGACACAAGGAAAAATACTGAACTACTCAAATGGGTTAATACTTTGTGTAAATTGTTTTGGCAATGACAGTTCATGCGAGTACCATCTATAAACTCTGATCTTCAGTTCTTATTTTCTATTGGATACAGGTCAGGTGGTTGTTCAGGCCATTCTAGCAGCTTTATTTTCTTTTTTGAAACCATTTGAGAGTTTTGGTGTTTTTAGGATGACGGTCTTGCGTAAATGTCCACCCTGGGTTTATCTTCATACTTTAGTAATGCAGGTGCTGGACTGGAGAAGCTAATATTCATTTACAATCATGACATTTTCAGATGCTGTGAGCTTTCCATGCCTTTTTACATCTCCCTTTCTTCATGTGTTCAATACTTTTCCCCTGTGTCATTTCAGTGTATCATACATAACTTAATTTATAAATAAATTAATTTGGTTTTGTTTGAATGCCTTTGGTTGTCACTGACATCGAGTGAAAACTTTGAGTCAACAGCACATTTAGAAACATGCTTTCTGAGAAAAATGCTTTGAAAAATGTTTATAGATACGTAGCTACATTACAATCTTTACCTTATTTAATGTACTGCAACATTGTGTAAAGATTGCATAATCAATACATGTAAACGGCTCAGAGGTTTTGTTTCCTACAACCAGTGTTGTACGTACAGTAACAGTATGCTTTGTTCATTTTCACAGCTGTTTTTAAGTCTTGCCAGCATGCTTTAGTCATCCTAAAGATGTTATTGCACTTATAAAATCAGCTTAAACACATCAGTCATATTAAAAAAAACTCACATTTTATTATAAGGTACAATTCTCACTATTAAAAAATCCTTAACTATGACTTTTAGCTCAATAATCTCTTAATTCGCGGCTTATTAGTAGTTATTAATAAAGTAGTTTTAGCTAGGATTAGGGATGTAGAAGAAGATTATGTAGAATATGTGTTTTATACGTACAAGAAATAGCCAATTTCTTAATAATAGACTGATAATAAGCTACTAGTAAATAGTGAGAATTGATAGTTAAACTGTAAAGTAAAATAAAGTGTTACTAAAGTATCATTCGATTGATCTCTGAATGTAACATGGTGTAATTGACCTTTCAGTGCATAGTAAGTTCAAGGAGATTCAGAGGCTTTTTCTCTTCTCACAGTCAGAAAAGCAGCATGAAAAGGCCAGGATGACTAGTTTAAAGATGAAAAGCAGAACATGGGAGTATTTTTGTCATCATCTCTCCTTTAACTGGCTCTCGGGGGCGTCTTGTGTTGTGTATCCATAAATTAAGACCGGAGATGAGCAGGAAACTCGGCTCTTTCTCATTTCTCAATGCTGGCTGAAGTGACGGCTGATGACGAAAAGATGAATCGCAGCATGTTCAGAAATTCATAATCACAAATATATTATTATGGCCAGGTAGAGGGAGAATCTGTCTATTAAAGCAGTTTTTATTTAAGTTTTAAAAGCAGACAAATCTATTTATGTAGGTCAGAATTATTAGCCCCCTTGAATTTCTGTTTAACGGAGAGAAGATTTTTTTTAACACATTTCTAAACATGATAGTTTTAATAACTCATCTCTAATAACTGATTTATTTTATCTTTGCCATGATGACAGTAAATAATGTTTGATAAGATATTTTTCAAGACACTTCTATACAGCTTAAAGTGATATTTAAAGGCTTAACTAGGTTAATTAGGGTAACTAGGCAGGTTATTCTATAACGATGGTTTGTTAAAAAATTTGCTTAAAGGGGCTAATAATTTGACCTTAAAATGTTTAAAAAAAAAATAAAAACTGCTTTTATTCTAGCCAAAATAAAACAAATAAGCCTTTCTCCAAAAGAAAAAATATTATCAGACACACTGTGAAAATTTCCCTGCTCTGTTAAACGTCATTTGGGAAATATTTTAAAAAGACACACAGATAAACACACACGTATATTTTTAATAGGAAGTTATGCAATATTATAGTTGTGCATATACAGTAGATTAGTCAGCACTGAAGACAAATCTAGAGCTCATCTAACAAAATAACTTACGATAACGGTCCAAAAACTAGTACAGCTAAATATATATATGTTATAGAAAAATATTAAGTACAAATTTTAAAAAGAGGGGGTAAAAGTAGCTTAAAAAAATGGAAAAAATGTAGTTAAAATTTTGTAGGTTGAAATTTTATTTACAATATTTTTAATTTAATTGTATTATCCTTCAATTTTGAAATATGTTTAGTGACTAAAATATTATATTAATATATCTGTTTAATAACTCTGTTTTACCGAGATATTAAAAGACAAATGTGAAATGCTATTATTAACTTCATGGAGCGTCACAGAAATATTGTAGGTTTGAGGCACACACAGTATGTATAATTCATAATGTGTTTGCAGACATAATGCACATAAAAGGTCACTTAAAGGGTTAGTTTACTCCAAAAAAAGTATTTCTGTTTTAAAGAATTGTCAGACTTCATCTAAAATATCTCAATTTGTGTTCTGAAGATTAATCAAGGTCTCTGGGATTGGAATGAAAGGCGAGTAATTATTAACAACACAACATTAATTTTTGAGTGAACTAATGATTTGAGTGATCCCTATGAGAATTTCACATTCTATTACTGACCCTTTTGTTTAGTGAGCAGATGAGAAATGCTGGGTTATTATATTTGTAAGTGTTGTGATAAGTATGAGAAGTTGTACCTTTGCGAGTAGGATGTGCTTTAGTGCTCTTCGCTGTGCTGCTCTGAGAAAGAGTCTCCATAATCCACTGTAGAGAGGAATTACAGAACTCCATCTGTATATACAAGAGTATTAATCAATCAGCAATAGTTCATATACACTCTTATTAGATACAACTGTGCCGCTGTATTAGATACTTCTTTGTGAGTGGAGTGTAATATGTTAGAGATTAAGCACATCCTGGAGGTTATCATAGAATAAACCCAGACAGGCTTATTTTTTCTGTGAAAACCACCATCATGGATGAACTTTATCTGCTTATTACATGGTTACTTGGACATAACAAAAAATAGACGCAAAACATTGTTCTGAGCTGTATTAATTCTTTAATGAAACACAAAGCTGATAGAAATGAAAACAGCTGATGGAGTATACACTAACCTGCGCAATATTTAGACACAAGATGATGCCAAACAGTCAATAATGCAAAGCTAACAGAAACGAAACTGGCTAAATAAAGCATATACTAACCTACATATTATTATTCATTCACAAGATGGCGCAAAACAGTTAAAAACAGCAGAGTGACGGACATATGCATGTAAATGCAAGTAAATGCATATTCAGTCATGGTCAAGATGATTCAAAGTTCCTGGATAAACCGGGGTTGTTTAGCAGCTGTTATCTCTAAATAACAAACCTTGAAATGTCGCGACTGACCAATCAGAATAGAGCATTTCAGATGGCAGTGTAATATAATGCTGAAACCACATCCTATTATTCTCACCTCTGACTCTAGAGCTCTCAGTCTGCGGTCTACATCTCTTATCTCTGCTACTTGTCCATCCACTCTGAAACAAATCATCACCATTAATGTGTAGGAAATCAAAATGTTTTGATCACATATTCATTCATTTTCCTTTAGCTAGGGCTGGGCGATTTTTTTGATTTTTACGATTAATTTGAATTTACGTTTTAAGATGATTTAATGTTATATTAAATCGAGGTATTGTGATTTTTTTTGCACCAATGTGCTTCGGCTCACTCTCTGTATTACTCTGCCTGACTGGGTTTCAATGATGGTAGTGACAGACTGAACACAGAGACTGGACAGCCTAATTTAACCCAAAGCATAAAGTTGTGGCTATTGCATCGCAGAGCTGGTACAAATACAACAAATACAAGCCTTCAAGTGTCTTCAGTTGTGTATTTTTCTTTTGTTAATACCTTTGCATCTAACGCGCTTTGGTCCACTCTTTCACGCTACTCCATCACTGCCTGACGAGGGGATTTACATTCAGACTAATGCAACAAGTAAAATCCTACATTAGTTCACGCTTTACTAAGTCACGTCTTTGTGGATTGACAAGACATATCCCCTTATCAAGTCGATGAACTCGATCTCTCAACATGTATGAAGGACGTAAAAACCTGCCATGTGAAAAACCGCACCAATCTTAGTTTGGTTTGAACACAAGCAGAGGTGAGCAGCTGTAGCAGTGAAAAGTGAAAGTACCCGCCACTAGGTTTTAACTAGGTCCCATTGCGTCATTAGCGGACCTAGTTGAAACTCAGACAGGCAGTCAGGCAGCATAATACAGAGACTGGTGCAAAGCGCATCAAATGATCGGTATTTAAAAGGGGGGAAAAAGAAAAACAGAATAAATATATTATTTTATACTAGACACACATCTGGTGCTTGTATTTGCTCATACTATACGTCCTCAACTTCACGCATTGAATTAAACTGGGCTTTACAGTTTCCATGTTCAGTCCTTTACTTCCAACTAATTTACTTCCAATTACAACCTGTCATTCAATCAGAAGAAGACAAAGTCAAAGCCAAGCTGACAGGCAATCTTTCCTAGGCTCAGCAAAACTTGCAAAAAAAAAAAACTCTGTATTCCTGCAACTGCATTATTTACATATACATATTTTTTTTAAATTTTTAAATCTTTTGAAATTCTCGTGAATTTGTTTAACATTTATTTAGACCTTGTTGACCAATTTATGTATGACATGGCCATTAAAAATACAATGTTCCTTAACCAGATGTTTCTCAAGTTACTTTTAAAGAGAATGTTACTTTAGTCATGTTGTAATGTTTTAAGTTGACTAGTTACACAAGCAAAAAAAAAAAAAAAAAAAAAAAGTGAATCGGTCAAACTTTATAAAAAGCCAAGATTTTTAATTTTTTTTTTGCCATAGCGCCCAGCCCTACTTTCAGCTTAGCCTTAGTTCCTTATATATCAGGGGTCACCACAGCAGAATAAACCGCCAACTACAGCATGTTTTATGCAGCGGATGCCCATTCAGCCACAACTTAGTTCAGGGAAACATGGTGAAGTTTTTTTTCTTGCCGCTGTCGCCTCTGGCTTGCATGGTTCGGAACCTGTATAGCTGTGATTTACTCTTAAGTGTTTGAACTTTCAGCAGTGAATATTAATCCACACTGAACTGAACTCCAACTCTGAAAACTGACACCGTTTCATTTCACTATAATCTATGATGTGAAGCTTTTTTGACACAATCAACATTGTAAAAGCGCTTTATATATAAAAAATAATTTGAATTTAGTTTTTTATTATTATTATTATATTCTAGGGCTACACTTTTTTGTGCACTTCATTGCAGTCATTGTAATGTTGTCCTAATGCCACAGAAAAAGTTTGACTCACTTAGCAGCCATGCGTTTGAGCCTCTCAGAGTCGGATCCTCTCTGTTTTCTGTTCTCAAGAGCCAGATAGTTTTCCTTCTGCAGGTTCTCCCACTTCACCAGCTTGTTCGCCTCTCGACCCGAAATCTTGAGGGCTATAATAAAAAAAAAGGTTAATACACATTTAAAACACATTAACATGCTCATCTTCAAAAAGTGTTATTGTTAAAGCATTAATTCATGCAAAATGTTACTTCTGTTATGAATTACTCATGTCATTCCAATCCAAAGACATTTGTTCATCTTTGCGGCACAAATTAAGATACTTGAGATGAAATGCTGGAGCTCTTTCATCCTCCATCGACAGCAATGATCTAAGATTTTCAAAGCCCAGGAAAAAAAAATTAAAAATTATACTGGTCTAACTATAATCATACAAAGCTCCAGAAACACTTTTGTGCAAGCTTAAAAAATAAAAATGTAAATGTTAATATTAATATTAAAGTACAGTTTTTGGCACACAAAAGCGTTCTTGGGGCTTAATATGATTACAGCTGAACCACTGAACAACTGTTTGTTTCCTTTATTGGACTTTTACTAATCCTTTATTGGATTGTTACTATTTATGTTAATAAATGCTTTATTAACCCAACTTCATCTAGTTTTGTGACCTAATCTAAAGTGAGGACTATTTATGTTTTATAAATCCATTTTAAATGACAAATAAAGGGTGTATGTATATGTATGTATATGAATATATATATATATATATATATATATATA